CCCCCCCCCTCCCTTTCTTCCTTTAATCTATTTGTTTATCTCTCTCTACATACCTCTGTGCTGCAATAAAGTAACCCAGATGCGACATAGAGAGCGAACGTTGTACGTTATTGTATATAGGATGGAAATCACATTGTGTGTAAACTTTCGCAATATTACTAATTATGCCAATTAAATCTCAACACAGACATTTCCCATGCACTCTGAACAGATCATGTGACCAAATATTATCTTTTATAACTATTACTTTCAATTCTTCACTATAAAAAATATGAATTTTATCTTTTTTAGTAGGTACATGACAAGAGAATCTGTCGTTTACTTTGTGAACTTTGAGAATGCTTTTTTTTTCTTAGGATAACACCAGATAACAGCCGGATGAAGTTTAAAAGAACTTTTAATGATTATTTAGGGAAAATGTTTATCTTTTATCATTCTTGTTAAATTGCGTCAAAGTTTATATCTGTCTGTAAAATAAAAATTATAATGGAACCTGTATATATCTATCACACTTGTATACAGACTTATAAAAATATCGCTTATATTGTTATAATCGTTGCATATTTAATAAAATTTGCATATTTATAAAATTGACGGCACGAAATTCTCATTTCGATACAATATCTACATTTCCGTGCGAGATAAGTACATTTGTCTGCAGAATATAGCGCAACTTACCTGCAGAAGATGAAGATCCATGCCAGTGTGTGGCGCTGCAACAGGAAACAAAGCGACTCCGTGGTCGTTTTTGAGCGGCTGCACTGGTTTGTAGGAGTCCAAATCAAGATGATAGTCATTCTCGTCGCATTCCTCCACCATGTAAGTTTTCTCGATTGCGGTCGTGTGAACGCTCAGGGTGCGATAAAGGGAACCAGTAATTGCGTCTCTGCCACGAGCATGTCGATGCTTAAGAAAAAATTATCCCTTGTTAAATTAAACTATCGAACTATTTAGGTCCTTTAGGATATATATTTACGGACACATTGAAAAAAGAAACATCTCTACACAATGTTGATGATTCTTCTATACTATAAATATAATACGATTCACGTCAGACTGCAAATTAGAATTCTAATTATATTTTATATGTTGTGTATTTTTATACCACACACATACGTGTTATACACGAACATTTAATTTTTTTAAATATTTTTCTTGTTACACAGCATATAAAATTATAAATTCAATATAATTCACGTCATGTTGCAGAATAGCATTCTATTTATAATTTTATATGTGTCGTTTATTTTTATATACGACATATAACATTATAAATTTTGTGCTTGTGCATTTAAATTTTTTAAATGTTTTTCTCGTTACACACAGCATATAAAATGATAATTAGATTCTGGTGCAAAGATTATTTAAAGTAGGCTTACAATAATTATGTTAAGCGAACAAACTAGTTTCACCGATTGAAACATCTATTACTTTTCTTGCTTGTATTGTACGAAACATAGTTAATATGACGTTAAGAGTGTTCATTAAGATTGCTCGGTCTTTATATGGTTTATGCTCATTGATTAAATTTGTATTTTACCTTGTGAAAAAGCGCAACTTTGTCGAGAACGGAATTTGTATCGTGGACTGGTGCAATGGGGTTCTCCGGTTTGTTCAAGGAACCGCTTCTTGAACTCCATCCCGACGGCGTCTCTGTGTTACTCTCGACAGCAATTCTGGCAACCGGCGCAGAAGAAGGTACATATTCTTGAGGTTCGCTCTCCTTAATGCTAACACGTGGTGACTCGCGATTTTCCTTAAACTCAGGCTGGGACTGAAACATACCAACGACATTTTTTAAAAAATCGCAATTAAATTTGTTAGATTATACAAGGAATTGTGGTGTTTGTATTATGGAAAAGCCTCATTCTACTTCATGCTAAGATTCAATAACTGTACAATGTAATTCTGAATAAATATAAAGTAATAATGAAAATGCGATATATGCCATACTCAGAGTAAACCGCTTTGATTTTCATAATACAATATATCTTTCTCAGAAATATACCATCGGTACCATAAAATCGGAAAATTGCAGAAGCTAAATAACTGTTATTTTATAATAAACACAGACAGAACAGAATTAATTAAATATTTTATCATAGAAAAAACTCGTTATTTTTATTAGCGTGGAAAAGGAATTCATATAATTTGTAAAAATAAATATTATAAAAAAGTGTCAACAATTTTGTTGGTAGTGTTTAATTCGTTTTATTCTATCCACTCTCTCTAATTGTAAGAAATATTTAGTGTTTTAGAAACTTCCCTCCCCTCCCCCCGACTGTCATTCTATTTTCAATATTCAATTTTAAAAAGTACAAACTTTTGTTTATTTTATTATGTGATTTTACTATAATGAAAAAATAAAAAAGAAAGGATCCTTGATCGAGATGACGAAAAATAGATCAAAAACGGTACGTATCATTAAAAAGAGAAAATAAAAGAAATCGCTTGAAATTTTAACGGTCTGTTCAAAGTGACAATAATAGAAATAGCCTTTAATTTCATGAAATGTAACATATAATATTTATAATTATAAAAAGACACAAAAAGGCAAATAAAAAGAGAAATATTAATTCGACTCGTTTATTAAAGCGATTTGCTATCGTAACATGTATGTGAAACAGACACTTCACGAGATCACAAATTATATGACAAATAATGAATAAAACGTTATTTGAAATTATATGGAAATATGGAATATTTAATACGCATAAATTAATTGGTACCATCCCATTTCCGACGTAACGTTATTGATAGATTATGGAAATTTGGCAGAAATAAAAAAAAACTGTTGTTTCGTCGTGTATATTATATCGTTTTGTACGTAATGACACCTGGAAAGAATATATTGTTTGCGACAAGATCCTCATTTCAAGGATGTAGATTCGATAATCCGAGTAACGAAGTTGCCTTTGTTCCTCAAAGAGGAACTTGGCTTTCAAAATGGGAATCAATAGTTTACGGTTTGCTCTCGAAACGCAACCTCGAATACACTCTCGGATGTTCATCAACAGGAACATTGGATGGCCCTTTAAGTCTGTTAATGACTAGTAACATATAAAGAGCTCTTTCACAAGTGTAAATCTCTCAACAGTCTCGTAAATATGATATAAATGCTGGTATAGCACTGAGAAAGTGGAAAAATCGTGGTCTCATTTTTAATTTTTCGTAAAATTTCTTTGCCAGTACATGCGTTTTTTTTTTTTATATAAGGATGTGAAGTAATTTAATTAATGAATCAAATATTATATTAAATGAGTCGAATTATGCTTACGGTATTTTCTTGTGCACTGTGGCCATAATTGCTATCAGAAACGTACGTATAAAAATATATTATTTATATATATTAGAAACCATATTTAAAAATTACATCTTTAGTTTTTGTAACAAAGTTCTTAGGTCGAGTTAATGCAAATTATATGTACAAGTAATCGCTCGAAAGCTCGTCTATCCCTAAGCTGGGGGCGCGCTAGTAGTAAGAACTTTAATGCGGCTTATAATTAACTGTTATCCGATAACCTTAATCTATCGCGTGGATATGTATTGAGCGGTCGTTCCACGACACGGCGTCATAAGGTAATGCTGTTTCACTTTATCGCGCCGTGTTACCCATCGATCGACCCACCGTCAGGCAGCATCCTAAAGCCGCTAAGTCGTGCTATCCAAATTGCAAACGTGCTGAAATACGCGTGAACATGTCTACCGGCAAGATAATTTGGATATATCTTGATCGAGCTACTCATGGAAAAAAAATTATGTTTAGACATTAATTTAACGCTCTTGTGAAGACGGTGACATCGATTTATCACGTGATGAAATAACACGATATCAGTTTTAATCGAAACACGAAAACTGTCCGCAAACGAGCAAAGTAAACAAGATGAGAGAATTGACAGTTGAAGAAGGGTCGGAGATATCTTATTGTTAGTTGAGAAACACGCACTTTATAAGTATGTTATTTTAAATAGGATTTACTTCAAAAGAGAAAAATGTTAATTTAGTCCTTGCTTCCAAAAAATTAGGAAAACATTATTTTTTATAAAATTATTTTTTATTAAAAAAATTCTTTTTAAGTTAACAATAGGTATATTCAGATCAATTCTTTATATTTAAAATGTGGATAAATGTGTTATTTCTCTCCTATTTATAAGTTATTTAATTTGCATATACACATTCTAATATATATTCTAAATATTTATACTTTTAATTAATTTTCAGATTTAAAATTAAAATCTTCTAATTTTTAAAACTAATTCAAGATACGACCAATTAAATTATCCAAAAATTATGATTAAAATAATCCTTTTTTTATTATGCAATATAAGGTAATATTTGCAAAATTTTTTCTATGTTACTGTAGATTAAGTCGCAATTTTTTGTGGTTAAATAATATTATTGTTATAAGTTAAAAAAAAACTCGAAAAAATTTGTTACGTTTTTTTAATTAGTATGTATATATAATTTTTTCTTATATTTTTAATTCGATGTTGTCTCTATGTTTGTTTATAATTTTCGTCTTGGCATTATTACAAGTAATGATGTAGACACAGAAAATACGACAATATAGTGAACAACAGTAATTTTGGAGTTTAAAGCTCGGATGCCACTATCCGAAACAGACGTGACGCCGGACGAACGAAGCGACTTTCGCGATTGCTTAACCTCGTTATCCTTTCTCTTCCTCCTTCTCCACAGAAATGTACTCTAAAGGATATACGTGCCGATGAGAGAACGACTAGCAACACTCGAGATAACAGAACGACGCATATCGCAGGCTAAGTGCTTGGCATATCCCGTGCACCACGCCGATACCGATTTGGAATTCCATTTGCAAGCCGCGACATCCGCATCGTGGATACATTTGGTTTAGCAGATTACACTTTCTAAAGAGAGAGAGAGAGAGAGAGAGAGAGAGAGAGAGAAGGGTGGAGGATAAAGGACAGTGTTATAATGAGATATATCTACTAAGTCGCGTCTTGGACAGTCTCAAGACAAAACATATCGTTTATTTTGCTCCCGCAATGTCAATCGATGTCGAATTCATTTGAATGTAATTAGCCATTGACACCCAAGAGACATAAACGCTCGGGACGTGAATGATCATATCGCACCCTGATTAATCTCATGCTCCAGAAACTATATGTTCTAGTATGTTTTCCATCAACGAGATGTATAATTATGAAATATTTCTTCGAATTTACATTATATATTCATATATACACTTATTTTGTAAAACATAACTAACAATTTTGTTATTAGCATGGATTAATAAATAGATAATAATCTTTTATAGCATATATTATAGCCTTTATTCTGTCTGATTACAGTTTTATTTGCCTAACATAATCGCGCAAATGTAAATGAAATTTAAAATTAACCAAGTATTAAAATATGTTGTACAATAACTTAATATAATCTTAATGTTAAATGTATATAATGAGATTATTGATTAATATAATTAATTAAAAATTACATAAATAAATACTGTATTTATTTAAGTTTATTTATTCAAATAATATATAATTCTCGTCAGAATTCACGGAATGAAAATATGAATTTTCATTGGTATATGTACTTATTTTAATGTATATCTTATTCTAAATTTATCAAATATTTTTCATATTAATATATGCATATCAAATTATTAATAGATTTCTATCTTGAATTTTAACAGAAATTATACATATAAAAATAGGTTTTATTTTATAATAATAAATGTTACAAAGTTCATTCACACATGCATACACATTCTCGTTTCTATTTCTTGAAACAAACGCTTCACGTCGCGACTTTGTGACGATGCTGTTTCATTTGAACCGGGAGTCTAATTACAAATTCGTCGTGCTGATCACATGCTTGATTTTAACGACTGACGATTGTGTGGACTTGGTCGTGCAGTTTGAGTTTCATAAGAATCGCTCTTAAAAGCACTGATTTTCGTTGCGGTCTTTCAAACATGCTCTTAAACATCAAATAACGTGACGCTGTAAAAACTATAAAAGGCAAGGAAGACGCCGTTTTGTTCCCCGATGACGATCGTTAGCGACAAGAGCAAGTAGTTTCCGCCGGCCTACAACCATCGTAGCTGCTGGAGGCCGATAGAAACCCCTTTCCTTGTCACTTTTACGGCACAGACTTCGCTTCGGTATTCTTCTGCTACGCTGCTATTCTTCGTGAGACTTGATAGAAGAATTTCGATGCGCGGTGTTTGCGCTCGAAATGATACCGTTTGAAACGCAAACTGTTCCTCTTCCACAATTCCCAAGAATTAATCCGATTTCTCACAATTGTAACAGTTTGTATGAGGTTGATAAACGATTATATTTCATGAATAAATTTATTGTTAAGAATGTACCTGGAAGATTTAATTTTCCTGATTCAATGCACTTTTACTCCGGTATCCAGTATTATCATAAAGTATCCCGGGCAAAACTTTCATAAACTTGGATGCGCATTTCTAAGTCTTGACATAAGCTTTTTGTTAGCTCTAATTTTCTTATTAAGGTTTTTCCTACTTTAAACAAATTCGCCGCAACGCCAAACTTCTCGCTATCTTTTGAACATGCAAACGTTGTCATGGAAGAACCAAGTAGATTTGCCGTGTCACTGACCGTCCCTCGTTCTCTCCATTACTCTCGGCAAGCCCGTGTTGTGATGCGATCATGAGAGACATGTTGGATATCACCAGTAAACTTCTTTGGCCGTTTGCCAAAACGCGAAAGCGTTCAATTACTTATGAGCTTTCTCTCCGACTTAGCTTTTCCCTCCTTGTATCGTATTCCACGCGCTCAAACATCAGATAGGGAAGTAGACTTACTTGACGAAATGTTAAGTAACATTATCCTATCTAAATAACCAGTCTTCTGCACATACATATTTTGGCTCTTATCCTACGTTGACAGTGATCTTCATAGTAGATAGGGATAACATTCCAGAGTAGAGTTGAGGGAAGATAAAGAAGCGGACACCGATGTGTAATATTTAACAATGCTTACATGATGAAATATAAATGAAATGCCAATCTATCGAACGATGTGAAACAATCAATTTTACACGTGCAAACATTTTCTTAACAATCAAAGTCTACAAAAAATATGATATTATATGAGCGATAGCGCTTTTCATGTTTACCTTTATATCGCACGCGATAATTTCCCGCAGCTCGCGCAGGAAAGCTCCGAAGAATGGCACCACCGGGCATTCCGGCATTGCGAGAGCGCGAGCAAGCGCATGTTCGTATTCGGAAGACAAAAGGGCGGAGGAAAGATAATCCATGACCGGTATGCGCTCGTTCATGCCTCGCTCTTGCCAAACCGGCTTCAGCTTGTTGGACCTGCAACGTAAGCATTCGTTCGCGATTAGACGAGGCAAACATACTTTTTCGGATAATTAAGAGGTAAACTGCTGACGATAGAAATTCGCACGCTCCAAGTTAATGTGCGCTTTCCAAGCAATGCACGCGCGACGTATTTAGAGTATTAAGAGGCTAATACTATTTTAGTACTCTAATACTCTTCTGATAACATAATGTTTTAATACCCTTTTTAGTGATTAATAATTTCAGATATATTTTTATTTTAACTTCTAGCATACATAATTGAGTATTTCACACATCTCGCGTATTTTTTTTTTTTTTTAATATTAGAGGAACACAATACAATTACTTTCTAACAATGTTAAAGGATATGTAAGAATCATTTAATAATTTTGTGACGTAAAATAGTGATGAAATTAACCTGGGAATAACGAAACAATTCGTCATATGTAAAGGAAAATAATCGGAAAATGATCGTATACTAAAGGTTAATTGAGTGATAACGAAATACGTAAATATAGAATTTATTGAATATAAACCGTAAGTCAGAAGATTAGCGGTGTTATGTACTTAAAGAGGATTTAATATTTTAATGTAATAATCTAAATTGAAGTAACATTCAGTAATTCCTACTAATATCTTAACCGTGTACACTAACTTTATACAGCAATTTACTCTACATGCAGAATTATTAAGCTTAATTTTAATTAAAGTAAATTTCAGAAGATGCTATAAATGTTAAAGGCGTGGACTCAAATATTAAATTAATTTGGAAAGCGAGATTTGTACAAAAGTTCTGATATTTTAATAGATAAAACATAAAATTTCTGGCCTTTGAGACACAGTTATATAATTTAATGAATTTATAAATTCATTTAACTCTTACAGATCTGCATTTTTTGAGAAATGGGACATTGGGCAATGTTCTAGAATATTTATTTAATTCAAAATTAAACTTACAAAGTTACATACATTAGTCCTTTCCATAAATAAAGAAACTTTTTAACAATTAGAAATTTAATATTTTTTAATTTTTTCTTATATTTAACGTGTGAAATGTGAAAGATTTCAGAAAAAATTGAATAAATAATTACAATTTAGCGCTGTGAGCACAGCAAATATACTTTATATTTATACAATCAGAAATTAAGTTGATAGTCAATACTTGCATGAGACAGCCATTTCACGCTTCTTGCAAACAGTTTCCTCTGTTTCGTGTTCTAACGGTTGTTAAAATCATGAAACGTTTACCATTAGAGCGTTAATTATCTACCTCTTTCAGTTCTCCATAGTGCAGCCAGTTAGCCCCGAATGCTTTAGCTGAGAATGTTTCCGAGTGTGTGAGACAGTCAGCAGGCGCAACGCCCAACGGTCGTTCCAGAAACGATATTCCCGCACGAAACTTTTATCCTCTCATTCGCGAGACGAGCACAAGAGGACGGTGTCTAACTTTACAGTCTCGGCAATAAAAAGTATTTTATTTCTACGTTGGGGGTTTCCGATGGGAACAGACGGTAAAGGTTCTCCGCTGCGCCACTTATGGCGAAATTCATTCGTTTCGCAGAACATAAAAAGAAGAGCATGGGCGGTTAATGACGAGAGTGCCGTTATCCGCGAGAAGGACGAAAGCGATAACCAAATGGCGGATTAGCAGAGCAGAACGTAAACAGAAATTTCTCCTACAAATAAGCGATATTACGTTCGCCGATACAATTTCCTCCGCCATGATTTCCGAGTCATCGATCAAACGGACGATACTTATGGTTTTTGATTTAGGGTTACTACCTATTTAAATGCATTCTGTATTTTATTTGCGCTATGCGTTGCCATCAGGAATACCACAGTACAAAGATCGATTAATAATTTTTTCAATGATAGGAGCAGAAAGACGCGAAAGTCAACGGTAGCGACAGAAAGGGGGAAGTCAATCTTGAACTCTTCAAGCGGAAGTGAAGTTCGATCCTTTTCTACTTCATATTTCCTCCCCTCTATGAAAATAAGTTTCTGAGATATTCTCAGAGACGTTCTTCTCCATTTAAATGTGCACGTGGAACATCGATCAGGACTTCCAAGTAGAGATTTTCAGCGTAGTTTTCAAGTTGGCAAGAAATCCTTTAATAAAGTATTCTCTTTTTTAGACGCCTGGTAGATTACAAAGAACTCGTATATCGAAAATCTTTTTTTATTTTTTTCCCCGAGGCACAAACAACAGTATTAAGTCAATCTGCGTCAGCTTTTTTTTAAGTGGATAGATAGCCAATAAAATGTTTTCATATGTATATCGCAAAAATGTAAATTAGAACTAAAATGCAAAAAATTTGTGTTATATGTATTTCATTCGTAAATAAATTTACAGGCAAAAATCATATCGCTTTGATTTCAACAAATGGTATATTATAGATATACATATACATAAATATGCATCTATATGTATATATATATGTATGTATATGTATCTATATACGACTCAAATAAAATTTTTTTACGTTGTCAATTCTTTTACAGCCGCGATATGAAAATATTGCTTCTTGATACATTAAAAATCCATCGTATGAATGTCACTTTGTATTTTTCTTCTTTGAATTTTTCTTGTGCCCGGAGAGAATTAATTATCAAACAGGAAAGAAAACGATTTTACGGGAGAACGACGCGTGAATCGCTGGTCGTACTCCTTGATCTCCGTGAAAATTAATGACACACATTCATTACTCGAATTACTTTTCAACGGGAGATTATCTCACTCTCTCACGAGGGATCGAGTCGAAAGAGGTCGCAGTCCCGAAAGAACTTGTGAAATAATGCGATTACGACATTGTGAATCGTTTCGGGAAATGGGTAGAGCATCGAGCCGAAAGACATTCACAGAATGAGCTACGTGTCGTGGCACTCGATAAAATTTTCATGAGAAGCTCTTAATAAAGCAAACTACGACGGAAGCCACTCCGTCTTGTAATAAGACACGCGATAGGGATCCTACAACGAAACATATCTCTGTGTTTAATATACATTAGGCTTGCCTGAATTTTTTTTAGAAGAAGATTGGAATTTTTTATTTAATTAGTCGTTTAACATCAAGTGATTGTTGCATTTGTATTTTGTCCAATTGCGTATGTTTAACACATCCTCTATTTTTACTTATGGTATATTTTTCGACGAATTTAGAGATTTGTCTTCGATAATTTTACGATTTATTACATTTCAACTTGCTGGATTAAAATATTTTATCTTATTTTAAATTACTTTGACACACATTCTAAAGTTTGTTTATTGTTAGGCTCAAGAATATAATAATAAAGAACAAAATTTAATAATATAAATCTTTCATTTTTTTAACTTATTCAAATTCTTTAAAAGTTAATTGAAAACTCTGATATTAAAACAATCGTCATTTTTAAAATATTATAAACAATAGTAACTCTTATTAAATGTCTGCAATGTATTGGTAACAATCGTATGCGTAATTAACTTAATCAATTTACACATGCATCACTGATCCCTTTTATAATTAGCAAGTAGCGTGCGCGGTTCTTGTTTTGTAGTTTCATGGTAATGCACTGTCTCAAGATAAAACATACGATGCATGAGACAACAAGACACAGAAGCAGAAACACGCCCGGAAGCAGGTCGTTACCGTGCATAACGTTTATGCCTCTGCTATAACACAGAGGGAATCTAGTATAAGTATTTCAATCAACTGGCGAGCATTTTCCGATTTTCCATTTAAAATCTAAGCATTCTTGCAACGTATTTAGTAGAAATATGTAAAGAAATTATATAATTATTTTTTGTTCAAAAGTTTAAAAATTTATGTATATAAATTAGGGATAGTAATGTTATTTTTAGGAGAAAATAACAACGTACAATTATTCAAAATCACATAAATTGAAATAACACAAAAAATAAACAATATCAATTCTTATTGGACCGCTAAATTTCAAACTGAATAAGACAATACCACAGCGGTCTAACAAGCTGGATCACGAGTGGTTCTAAATAATTGTGTGTGAATTTATATATTATATTACGAATGTAATTCTTCGATTGCGCGCTGAAACTTTTTCAAACTTGAAACGCAGCACTAATAAACTGCCGCAGTAATATCACGAGTTATATATAAATGACTAATAATTTAACAATTATTGATGCTGTTTACGCATCTTATATCGATCTTACTAATGTTGAATAATCTATTAAAAACTGTAAATAATTAATTTTTCATTGCGTAAACTATTACCTCGGCTGGGAGTCGAACAAAAAATAAAATTCAAAATCGCTATATTTTCAATGATTATTAATAAAATATGATAATTAAAATAATATATTTATATTATTCTGATTTTAATGTTAACAATGCACTTGATACCAAAAAAAATGACACGATCGAAATCTAACAAAGACAATACTCGCAGAGAGAACAATTAATGTTGCAGTTCTCTTTTCAAGCCAAATTCGCATAGATCGTTTGAAGGACACTTACTCGACTCTAATAACCATCCTTCTTTTGAGATGAAAGCATCTTCACGGAAAAAATCTGTAGTCAAATCCTGACTGTCACGATCGTTTGGAAGTCTGACAAGTGGACAAAGCGTCTTTGATCTTCCACTCGTCGCAAATTTCAGATACGCGGCCGCAAAAAATGTCAAAGATCTTTTTTTTTTTTACGTTTGGAAAGAATTATTTTCCAAAGGTTTAAATCTCTATTGTCAACATTTTTGTTCAATAGATCTTGTTCAATAAGGTCTAATCGTAGAAGATACAAAGACCTGATATTTATTGTTGAATAGTCTTCGATATTATTGGATAGGACTAAATATTTCTTTGGTTGCCATTCGGGATACGAAAATCCGACGCAAAGAAACCTTCTTGTGTAATCATATTAAGTGCAGTTTGATCCGATTCTCGAAGATATCGCAAAGTTTTTATCGATAAAACTTTGAGATTTAACATCATATTCAATTACGAGACAGTTAACTCGTCTTCGATTCTTTTACTTACGTTAATAAAATAAAACACTTGTCCGGCGTATATATTTTGACTTGAAATCAATCAAATTAATTAAACAAATTATATTAGAGATTTTTCTTGAACATTTTTAAATATCGCATTGCGAATATCCGACTCAAATTCTTTTATATTTTCTCATAACTTGATTAATTAATCATACATTAGTTTTAGAAATTTGTACTTAATCTTGTTTAAGAAATAATTTTCCTAATAGAATGTGAAAAAGTGTTTTATTCCAAAGACATTTAATTCTAGTTTGCGAGGCTAAGCCACTTTGAATGCACTTTTAATAGGTTTTATCTAACTTTGCATGAATAATCAACAATTATCACGACAAGATAAAGTTCAAAGTTTTTTTAATTGCTAGTTTGTGGTCGATCGAAGATACTTTTGAAGTTGAATATTCTTCATGTTCTATGGTTTTTATTTATAGTTTATGTAACAGCAAAGTTCGATGTACTTATATAAATATTCAAAGATACCTTTCGTGTTCGGAATAGTAAACTTCGAGTAAAAGCTCGAACTCCATTGTCTCAATGTGGAGAAACATAATTTCAAGAGTCTTTTATTCCAACAGATGAAGATTAATTGTGTAAGCACGACCTTGGAAGTCGCAATGTCATGCAACAAGGAAAGTTTCAAGGAAGCCTTGAGTTTGGATTAGTGTCGCAATCTCGTTGGGAATTATACATTTCGCAAATCCCTACTGGGACGTACGAGACTATTTTCGCGATTGTATAAATTTCTAATTTTTTTTAATTTCAAATTTATTAAAATTACAAATTTTTTGTTATAAAATAATATATATATGTATAATAACATTATAAATATAAAGAGGGCAAAAAGAGCCAAGTAATTTAACGAACAACTCTAATTCAAATGATCATGATGTGAACATTACGAAAACAAACGTTTCCGATCAGGTCATTTTATTATTTATAATAATAACATTGTCAAAAATGACTAATGACTTGATGTGTATAAATATTCGTGCAAATTAAGAATATCAAGTCAACTCGTTTAACGAGTAAATGTAGTTTTTGTTTGAGTTCTCTGGTAATCCTAATTCGTTAATCTGTGAGGTTAGGCGATTATAATTGTAATGATACAAAATTATAGTTACGCGTACATAGAGACGGCGGTGGTGGCAACGGCGATGGCTAAGTCTCTAATCCGATCGAAACTCGAAACCGACGAGATACGTGCTGCGGTCGTCTTTCGTAATGATCTATCGGTGCCGACAGCAACTTTCCTCTGCGGTTAGATGCTTACGGTGGATGAAGATGGATGGGCTTTCGTAATTTTGTGGCAGGACTAAGAAATTATATTACGACTTTCGTACTTAGCCGAAACAATGTGGGCTACTTGACTTATGGTCAGCAATAAAGCGAGTGCGCTTGCAAGAAGTAGAAGGCAGCAATTCGAGGATTGACCTTTTAAGGAGGCTTGGGGGGGATCTGGCGCCGTCATTCGTGTTTATGACAAGCATTATGGGTACTTACTTCAGACCAGCAATTATCTCCATGGCTGAATTAAAGTTTCCGGTATTCCAACAGGTTAGCGCGACGCGTAGAAGACAGGACAGCACTGCCTGCCGTTCTTCTACCGTGGCACAGCTGCTGATCGCGTGGGTGGCCCATGAGCTTACCTAATTAACAAACACGATTAATGATTGCCTCATTCGCCAATTCCTCACGTATAACTAGGATGCGAATTTTGGATGTCGTTGAACTGAATGCCATATAATATATGTTTCCGACAAGTACGTAGAATTTATATTTATAATTTATTTATTATGTAATTGTATTCATTCCTATATAATACGACTCATATTTCGTCTTTTTTATTAAATACAAAAAAGATCACTAAGACATACGAGATTTATCAGGTTTATTAATTATGAGTAAAATGACGAAAATTTGGAACTATAAAAACTTTATTAAACGCGAATGCGATATATTTAGCGATATAAAAATGACACGAAAAATATATCAATTAATGACAATTGAAACATTAAACATTTACAATGTCCTAAACTTCCGTCATTTTACTCATAATTATTAATTAATACCTGACAGATCTCATATGTTTTGTCGACTTTTCATGTTTAACTGAAAAGGTAAAAGGTGAGTTATTTTCTTACTCTATCGACATTTATTTACGTTTTGCAATTCAAGTTTCACATTTTGTGTAACAAAATGAAAATATTAATATAATTCTATTATAAGAACATCGCAATTATTCATAAGAAATGACCAGAATTTTCCAACGCTATCCGAAACTTTCTATTTAGCATGGTGATAAAGAGAACAACGTGGAAAACGGAGGGATAGAGAATCCAATGTTTCCAACCTTGAGCAAAGATTTAGAGTGGGAAATGGCAGTAGGGGGTGGCGGAAATGAGTAAGCGAGGTCAGGTGATATCCGTGCAAGTGTGTGTGTGTGTGTACATGTGTGAATAAAGTGGGTGAAAGTGTCTGGTGAAAACGTACGGAAAGCCGCTGGAGGAGTGGATACCTCATTAAAAGCGGCTGATGAGGGTTTCCGCGGGACTGAAGACCGAGAAAAGGTTTCTTGACACGGAGCTTTTATCATCTTCGGTACAATATTATTTTTTTCTTATTTACGTAAAATAATAACACTTTGTTGATTAGAAACAGTAATCTACAGAAAATCCTTCCATAGCACTTCGTAATCGTAATCAAAAAGGACATCTACGTGCCTTTGAAAAATGCAAATACAGGAGAAAGAATTAATGTACCTCATTAAAACGATCGATGAGGATCTGCACGGTGGAGTACACCGTGGCAACAGGCCAGGATGATTCGTCCTCGGTTTGGGTCGAACTGTTGGTGGTGCTGGGGTTGCTGTAGCTGCGATTCGGCGACGGGGGTGGCCTGGCAGGTGGTTTCTGCAACGTGGTTTGATCCTGTGCCACGTGCCTTAGGTACTCATGCGGTGGTACCTGGTAGAATAGCTGGTACTCGCTTTCCGTCAACCTCAGCGCCACCTCCTCGGGGAAGTGCAGCAGCTTATGCAGATCCTCCAGCTCCTCAGAGCTCCGAGGCGGCTGCGGCTGCGGCCGCTTCTCCAGCTCTATAAAAAATGTTTATCAAATTCATTACATTACAATGTCATTACATATTTGACATATCTATGATATGATATGAAGAAAAAGAGAAGAAAGAATGTAACCATGAAGTTTTATCGAATGGAATGTTATCTGTCAATTATCTTAACTTTTGTTCTATATATATATATATATATATATAATCATATTTTGATAATATTAAAATCAAACAAAACTAATGAGAACATGCCGTAACGGTCAAGCTGGAACTTGGATGCTTCTAATATATAATTTCGCGTGAATTTATTATATACTATACGTATGTAGATTCTTAAATGCACGTCATAATTTTTAAATGATTAAATTATTAAAATTAAAGTTTTTAAAAGTAAAGTAGTAGTCTTTAAAATCTTCTAAAATTTGTTAAAATTTAACAAACTTCCAAATTTTTTAAAATTTGTTAACATTTTGATAGACATGCACTATTTATTATAAAATATATAATACATATTTATATTATATATATAATAAATAGTACATGCTTATATCAAAATGTTAACAAACAACAAAACATATATATTTACATATATAATATATATATCGTGCGCTATGTATAATACATATTACATAGTATACATAATATGTATAATTTATATTTATATGTCTTTGTTTGCACTGATATTTCTATATAGGTAGTTGAAAATCAGAATTCTAGCAATCTCAACTGGAATTTTACACTGAAAGAAAATGTCTTAATTACAAAAAACTATTTCTTTGAAATAAAGATTTTTTGTTAGTGTAGTTGATTTAACGTTAGAGAAACTTATGATTCGTTCATTTTCTACCAAAATTACTATTTTATCTAACCATTTTCCTCAGTATGTGTTTAACGTTGCATAACATTTTTTTATTTTATACAATGTAATGTAGCTTATGTAATCTAAAGTTGAATTAAGAAGAAATTTTTTATGCTTAATATGACCTATTGTTAAAGAGTTGCATAAATTTATTTTCAATATTGATTGATAGCAAAAATAATTATACAAGGAAAACAAAAATATAAAAAATTATATTAAAAATTAACACAAAAGCGGATAATAAAAAACAAAAGATAAAGAACGAAACATTTGTGTAAGCTTTTCGTAAAATGATATTGCAATTCCTTTGTGCACGAAATATTGCGGTAATACACACTGCATATTTATTATCTACACTTTTCAAAAGTATGTATTGTATGATATGTCGTGTCGCAATAAATGTCTAAATCTTGATACAAATAATTTTCGGTCACCAGGAGCTAATTTGACAAATGCAGAAGCATTATTTGTTGATTATTTAATTTTTAATTAACAAATATTGTGGAAAAACCAATAGTGTATTCGTATCAGATAAATGTTTTGGAGTTTTGAATACAAAAATTATTTTAATAATTTATTTTGATAATTACAAAAATACATACAGTATATTTGACAAAAATATTCATTCTCTGTTCTTTTATTTATTCATAACATGGTGTAGTTACCTTCAATGCGATATTATATCAAAATTTGTACACGCGTTGCATTCAGGTCGCGCCTAATGAACCATGATAATCTTCATATTCAATTACATTTGATTTCGATATTAGCACAATATTTATTAAATTGCTCGAATTATGAATTAAATGTGTGCAAATCCAAAATGAAGTTTACAGATGATTAATGATACGTATTTCACTCAATTTATATTTTGCAAAAGCATATTTTGTGACCGTACGTTTGAAGACCGAGTCGCCATTGTTTCGAGCGTGCCAGTTTGCAGAAAAAACACAGTGCAATTTTTGCTCATCGTTTAACATTTGCCACGTGAAAAGGTCAGCTCGATGATGCTTTTTTGCCGCTGCGAGTGATGCACGAAATTCAACGCGACCATCGACGAATAAAAGCGTCTTTTAGGTCTTCGATGAATAATTCCGCGCTGCGGGTATCGTTGATGCTGAAGTAAAAACACAGTTCACGGTATTTTGTATTTTGACATCCGGTACGAAGCACTAGAGGCTGAAATATAAACCAAAAAGATATACGTTTGCATAATCGAAGAAGTACAGAAAATTAAATTGCAAATGCATTATTAGTAATTATTGAATTGTTCTCCTAAAGAAAGAAGTAATACTTGATATAAATGATATAATGTATATCTTCCATCAAAGCATTTAATTTATGGATGGAAAAAATGATTTTTTGGTCTAGTATTTACAAATTTAGCAGATCTGAAAACAATTTTGTCAGATCATGTAAACAATTAGGAAATTCAAATGTGATAAATAATGCTGTAGAAAGTTTTGGCAACCAATTTCAGAGAGCGCGTGCGTCCTAATTGTTTTGATAACTGAAATACAATATAATAAAAATTATTTTAATACACATATGTATAGATGTATTATTCCAATATTTAACTTTGACCGTAATTGTCGTTTTTCTTTAGTTATTTTAATATTAGTTAAACAAAATTATTTGTATCTAACTAATTGTAAATTTTCAAATACTTTATCAGAATTGTTTTTCCGTGTAACTGCATGTTTCATCATCAATAAAGCTATGTTATTTAATTAAGTATCCCTTTCTTTTCTTTGAGAGGACAATTCAATATTTCCTAATAATAATGCATTCGCAGTTCCATCTTCTAAACCTTTTTTAATAGATCCGTATTTAGCTAAATTTTTTAGATAATTCAGCGCGCGCAAATTCGTGCTTTTCGTGTAGAATGTTGTAAAAAATAAGTATGAAACATATGCGCGAAATTACTGGCAACTTTTAAATCTGACCCAGTTTCCTTAGAAACGATTAAGAACGCTGCGCGTCTCGTTAGAATCGAGTACTGACATGGTGTGTGCTTATTATGAGACAGCGCAAAATTATTGCGAGTGCATTCATTCGAAGCGACATTCATAAGATGCCATGAAATAATTCGAGGTATCTCGAATATTGCGAGCTTCGTCGTACTTGCCTCCGGCAGCAGAATAATATGGAAGAACGCGTTATATATTCTTTTTCTTTTCTCTCTCTCTCTCTCTCTCTTCGTTGCTGATATAGTTATTTTTATAGATCTGCAACAACCTATATCATCACCCGTATATTTTGTTGAACTTGAAAATTATTTCGAGCTACCGCATAAGTTTATATTCTCGTAATGTAACGTAAAAAAACATTTTTTTCGAATTACTTGGCTTTCACGTTATTTGAAAAAATGATTTTAAAAAAATTTAATCCACAGTAGATTGTACTTTGATTCGCTATAAGCGCTGTGCCTTCGGCGAAATTGAAACGCGAGCTGGGATATAACATATATATATATAACGTACAAGATGGAAGGTTCAGGACAAAATTTCACATTCGTCGATATCTCGTTATAGTTTAAGCACGAATGTAAGCGGAATCTAATATCCATGCGGATAATTTACTAGCGACCAAAATGAGAAAAAGGATTTCATCGCGTAAAGTATCCCATAGTCATGTCTCATTCTATAATAACGAATGCAGTGCGCACATATAATGTAAACGGATGTTACAAGTCAAAAGAGATCTCGGTTCAGAAAATTTGAATATCCAAAAGTAATGCTTTATTTCGACATCGAGCTCTTCATTTCTATTTCTCTCTTTCAGACCAAGAAACGAAACTATTCAATGGGAACCCTTTACGAGTGCGTTTCGCAAATATCTCGTAATTACTCCCGGCGGAATTTATGACCGCCTTACGCAGAGCTTACCAAGATAAGTAGGACGGCTCTCTACCGTAACGTTTCTAACCCACCGGGACGCAATTTCTCGTACAATGTTTGTGGCGTGCATACATGTTAAACGGAGTAATTGCCGATATCGCGATACAGTGTTCTTGTTTCTGCGTGCATTGCTCTTATGCAGGGCGATTATCATGTAACGAATCGCGCGGGATGGACTTATTCTGCATGTATAAGCTCGTCTATCAACGTCTTCGGGCAAACGGCCTGCTAAGGATCTTAAACCACCGTGCAAACACGTACCGAGTGTGGACAGAGTGGTTGGTTAAACCCTGGCATGCCCCGGCACATGCTCATAGTCAATTGGCGAACCTTATCAGATAATAGCGCGATAACCTGATGAAGAGATTAATCAACGTATCGGATCATGAACATAAATGGCTCTTGCATAATGCCAACGATGGTATCTTGTTTGTGAATCAATCGCTTTGAACGGAATAATGCCTATGCTTCTGCAGTTCCATAGCATTGAGAAAATTGTGAACGAAGTAAATGAAACGCAGTCTGTAACGTGTATTTTTATCGACAGTTTGTTCATGAGTTTGTTATATTTCTGTAATGTTTGCATTTCTTCTGCTGTCGGAATCGATCTTATGTGACAGATGTTCTAACATTCTAAATATAAATACATAGATTGACGTTTGATATATATATATATATATATATATACAGGAATTACAAAAACTTTTAAAAGAAGTTCTTCTCATCCACTATTATAAATTCATCCACTATTTAATTTACGAACAACCATTCACATTAACGAGGTTATCTCGAACATGTTTGTAATTATGCTTTTTACAAAAGAGATAAAAATTTGAATTATACAATACAAATGTTTTCCAATTTAGGATAATATCAAACAATGAAAAACGTAATCGATGATATTTCGAAAGAAGAGAGAAACGTATAAATTGGATTAATTATTATCTCGGAGCAAATACTCCGCAGTGTTTTTAATTAGCATCACAAAAATATAAATATTTATCTCCGAAATCTAAGCCGAGAACGCGGCTTCGATAAAGGTTTACCTTATCAGGTGATGGTGCGGCCACGTGGGGTGGAGGAAGTGGAAGTGGCTGGGTTTGTTGGCGTCGATGGGGATGAGACAGCTCGCTGCTCTATGATATAGCCGGGGCCCGCCGGTGGAATTAGTCCGACGACCAGGCCGGGTGATTCCCGCGTAGCTCCGCGGTCTGCATCAGGACGGCTTCATCGATATAAAGTCGATCGAGAAGCCCCTCTTGCGTCTTC